CTATCCAAGATTGCCAAGGCAGACCCATCATTGTTCAGTTTGTAGTAACCTCTCCTAGGAGGATTCCACTTCATGTGGATTCTTTGGTAGATAGGAGCAGAAACATTGCTTCTATGTGGATGGTACTCATGACAAGGACGATGTTATTTTTGTGGTTGAAAAGGTTATTATTGCGATTTAAACAAATATTCAAAAAGCAAAAAAGGGGGGATGTTTTCCCAAGTCTTCCCCACTAAACGTGTTAGCATCAATAGAGTAGCGAGTGGGAGTTTATTGGACTAGGTTTGACGCAAGCCGAGTTCATCAAAACCTTACACACAAAGTGTAACACCCCGGAACATTTTTGAGCTAAGACTCGAACCGCCCTTCATTGTGAGTAGGATTTTACCAAGGAATTTAAATTTTCTTAAGTATTAAGGTCACTAGATGTAGTACCTTGAGTTCCAAAAAGAACTAAAGAGAATTCATTCAAGTTATTCGCAAGTTCTTTTAAGTCTTGGGTCAACTTCAAACGACCATAACTTTTAGCACATGATGAGTTAGGTGGCCCATAAGATATCAATTTAAAGTTCTTTGAATTATCTTTCCAACGCCACCGAGTTTGCTAAGTTTCGAGTTTGGATGAGTGAGATATGCCCTTATGAAGTCAGGCTGTCCAGTTAAGGAAAGTTACCCGAAAATAGTGAGGGGTATTTTGGTCTTTTTCTTACCCAATCAGATTTAATTCATTTTTAGTAAGGTTTTAGGGGCCTAAATTGATTTATTTCAGTTTTATAATCCCAATCTACGCTTAGAGACGAGAGGGAGTTGGTCGGATGGTAAGCACCCCTCACTTCCAACCCGAAGGTTGCGAGTTTGAGTCACCAAGGGAGCAAAAGGGGTGGGAGCTCATAGGGAGGGTAAAAAAAATAAAAAATAAAAAAAATCTGTGCTTAGAGTTTTAGTTGAGAGTTCAAGAAAAGAAAACAAGAGAAAGAGGAGAAAAGAGGAAACGATCAAAGCGTTCGTCGAGATTCTTGAGTTTTGTTGCGGATTTTCGCCATGGGTTTGATACCAAAGAGGTATGTAAGTTTCTCATAGTGTTGGGTTCGTTTACCCACACACCAATCATGATATTTTCAGTAAAGTTTCGTTCTTGAAGTTGAAGAATTTGAGTTCTTGAAAGTATTGTTTCCGCTCTTGAATTAGGATGGGTTTGATGAATTCTTGAGATAAAAGTTAGTGAATTGAGGTGGTTTGGAGTAGATTATCATGTACATAAGTTGAGTATTTGAATCTAAGTGATTGGGAAAGAAACCATTCGATTCTAGGCGAATTAAGGTCGAAAAACGAGTAAGAAAAGATCTGGCAGGATTTAAGGAACAGGTCCGTGTCGTGGACTTGTTCCCCCAGTGATATTTCCCTCTCCGCGTCGCAAAGAGAACGCGGACTCCATAGTTTCAAAAATTATTTCGCGACCAAATACTATAATTAATCTCCGCGTCGCGGACTTGCTCCCCAAATAGTGTTTTTCAACCGTTTCTCATGATTAACTATCTAAAACACTTTTAATCATCACGATATCTTTCCTATCATAAATCATAACCTTGAATTCATAATTCAAAGTCAAGGTAGAGTTAAGAGTTACAGTCTTGAGAGTTCTTTCGAACATTTTGAGAAAGTCCCTTTGAGTCTTTTGAGGAATCTTCTACAATTTCTAAAAACTTGTTTCAAGACTCGAACAAGTGGGTATGCGAATGTATTCACGAGTCTACATTATCATCACGAGATCCTTCATATCATGAATCATAACTCTTGAATCCATAATTCAATTCAAGAGAGAGTTAAAAGTAGAGTTTAAGAAAGTCTTTGAGTTCAATTGTGAATCCTTTGAGATCAACTATCGATTTCAGCTAAGTTTTGAGGAAGTAAGTATGAGAATAAGAAGATTCATATACATGAGTTCCATATTATTATGTAGACCCTTGAGTCGAGTTATTCATGCCCATAAATTCCGCATGAACTCCCTAAGTTGAGTATCTTTGAGAGGCGTAGTATTCTCAAGTTCTAAGTCTTGAGTATTGAGTTCCTAACCCTTTTGAGTTGAGTTGTTCATGACCACAATTCCACATGAACCTTATGAGTTGAGCATTCTTGAGATAAGTAGTATCATGAAGTCCTTGAGTTGAGTTGTTCATGCCCATAATTCCGCATGAACCCTCTGAGTTGAGTATTCTTGGAATGAGTAGTATTATTGAAGTTATTGAGTTCTGAATTGTTGAGTTCCGAGTATTGAGTCGTTCACGTCCATCATTCGGCATGAACCTTAGTTTGAGAAGTCTTTTACAAATTTTTCTAAACTTGTTTTAAGACCTGAGTTCTTGAGTATGAGAAGAGTTAAGCTTCATATTTCGCAATGAATATATGGGAACTAAGTATTTCGAAGAGTAAATGTTTTCACATTTAAAAGAGGAGGAAACTGAGATTTCCTAAAAGAATTTAAGAGGAGTTTTTGAGTACTATCTCTTTTCAGAGAAATATTTTGAGTAATAATCTAAAACCGGAGGAACAGTTATGTTTTTAAACATATGAGCAAAGTAAATTTTGGGAGTAGTATTGAGCACCGAGTATGGGGGAGAGTTCATATAATTCAGAGCCCTCATAAACCATGTAGACAACGTGGGTAGAAAGAGTCATACTTTTTGGATGATTCCTTAATGCTTTTTAGCATAGACTAGTGGATCCACTTAGTGAGTAGGTCTTATACCCTGGCAAAGTATAGGACAGTTCTGGCAGCGTGGGCGAGACGTTGTATCATCACATAGCTCATAGTGATGGTTGCCAGTTAGAGAATCTCCCACAAAGTTATTTTTTGTATTTTTATATACAAGCTGAGTTATTATTGTATTCTTCAGTACATTGAGTTGATATATTTTGTTTTAAAAGCTTTCCATATATTGCATGTTTTATTGCTACTTTATCTTGAGTTGAATATCCAGAGTTGAGTATCTAGAGTTGAGTATCTTGAATAGAGTATCTTATCCTTGAGTACTTCTGAGTTGAATAAGTTTTAGTACCTTTGAGTATCCTTGAGTATTCCTTGGGTTGAGTTGAGTTGAGTTAAGTTGAGTTTGAGAAGAGGTAAGTATGTTCTTTTCCACTAGTTCAAGCTTATGTTTACGCTTTAGAATTCCCCTTACATGCTCGTACATTCCATGTACTGATACCATTTGGCCTGCATCGTTTTATGATTCAGATACATGTATTCAGGGTCATCAACAGAAGCTTCGTTAATACCACTTGTAGTTCGAGTTGGCTATGGTGAGCCTCCTTGCTTCCGGAGGGTTCCACTTGTACTTTCAGTTTCTTAGGCTATCGTGGGTCTTGTCCCGACTTTTATCTTTGTCAGTTAGAGGCTTCATAGAGAGATAATAGAGTTTGAGAAGTTTGTTTCATTTATTCTGTTAAATGTTGTAAAGAATTGAGTTGCCTATTTCTGGCGAGTTGAATATACTATTTTATGCAATGTTAATCTTTTGAGTTAAAGATTGTGTAATTGAGTTCAATGAATTCTATTCAGTTTTAAGGTTTGTATTCTTGAGATAGTCTTCCGCTTGTAGTCAGCCAGGATGAGAGTTTGCTTGGGGACCATCAATGGTTCTCGAGTGTCGGTCACATCCAGGGTGTAGGTTAGGTTCGTGACAAACTTGGTATCAGAGCACAGATTTCAGGTGTCCTAGGGTGTCTGTAAAGCCCTGTCGGTACGATCTTGTTTATGGTTGTGAGGCCCCCACTTCTATAAATTAGGAACTACATACATTTAGGAAAAGTTTCCCTTCTTTCATACTCTTAATCGTGCAATAGAGCTATGTCACAGAGATTTATTCATACTCATGCTTTTCTCAAAATCATTCGACTACCCATCATAGTAGAGGTGGTTTAAAAGTAAAGCCCAAGATCCTTATGGATGAGTTGTTTGTAGCAAAAGTCTTGAGGAAGTCATGAGACTGCAGAGGGGCTTGAGAGCAGCCTATGAGTGAGTAACTATTGAGTTTCAAGAGAATGCACTCATATTCATATGAATCATGTGTTTGAGAAAAAAGTCGAGTTGTACTCTCTTCTCTAAATCTTGT